ATTCGAGATATTAAGCTTGAAACTCGTGTAGAGATTTGAGACTTTTGAGACATCTTGGAACGCCAAAATGAAGCTATATTTTGGCCTTCTAAGTTGTCTCAAAAGTCTCATATTATCTCGTGTCTGCGTCGTAAGTTATTCCAGGTCAAAGGTCACGAAAATCGTTTTTTTTGCAATTATCTCCGTTTCTATGATTCCGATCACTTCAATATCTATTATAAAAATTAGAGGTAAAAAATTGCCACAGCTTTTGTCTCAACTTTTTTCTATACGCTCAACTGTTTTCTATATAGAGGTCGGAGAGCACCCAGCGCTCAGGCATATATACTGTAATACAAGGTCAATCACGATTGACAATCGGAAAGTATACATAAAAGTATGTATACTTTTATGTATACTTTCCGATACTCGATATGCACATTCACAGAGGTTAAAGTATTTAAGAAGTGTATGTGATCATCTTCGTATTTCTTTCGATACTTACAGTTTTTAAAGTTTTCAAGCCACGCACTACATTAACAGAATCACCTTCAGTTAAAGACTTCTCAGATATAAAACACAAATCAGCCATAATTATCAAAATTGTAAGTCCGCCGTTGCTGAGATCATCAAATGCAGCTTCATTTTGGCGTTCTAAGATGTCTCAAAAGTCTCATAATATTATCTCGTGTCTGCGTCGTAAGTTATTCGAGGTCAAAGGACACGAAAATCGATTTTTTGCAATTATCTCCGTTTCTATGATTCCAATTACTTCAATACCTATTATAAAAAATTAAAAATAGAAAAATTTGTTCATATCGAGTGTCGATATATACACATATATAACATCATTCAATACAATGTATTAACTAATAAATAATACGAATTATTTATTTTTGATAGTATTTTAATGATTTAGTAACAATATACAAGATATTATTAACCGATATTCACGATTGACCTTTTATTACAGTATATAATGCCTGAGCGCTGGGTGCTCTCCGCCCTCTATCTAGAAAACAGTTGAGAGTATAGAAAAAAGTTGAGCAAAAGCTGTGGCAATTTTTTTACCTTTAATTTTTATAATAGATATTGAAGTGATTGGAACCATAGAAACGGAGATAATTGCAAATAACCGATTTTCGTAACCTTTGACCGCAAATAACTTAAGACGCAGACAAAAGATAATATGAAACTTTTGAGACAACTTTTAGAACACCAAAATGAAGCTGTACACGAGTTTTCAGCTTATTATCTCCAATTGCGAGGTGAAACCCTTAAGTGACTGGACTATGTCGTTAGGACAGATGATACGAAGTGCACTGGATCATTCAGTAGGCGATGGACATGATCGTCGTTCTGTTTCTAAGTACCTTGATTACGCGCTTGTACCTATAACTTGCCTTTGTGCGGGAGGATTAAAAATCGTAGAAACAAATATTAGAGCAATTCTAAACATTGCAAAACACTGCACCAGTAATGTTATTACTGCGTATTTTTTTCAGTATATTTGACAAATATAGTCGAAAAGAAACGTAATATTTTTGTTCAGTTACAAAAAGTAAATTAGTACTATCCCTTAGGTGGGTACTGACCGGCATTACAGGCCATAATGTAACGATCGTTACGCCATCTGTTGAAAAACCATGGACTGTACTGACTGTACGAATGTTCGCTTTGTAACATGTTATATTTCGGCCCGTAAAGCCCGCCGGTCAGGAGGTATCCACCTTAATAATATATTTTGCTGCATATCCTTTGAAAATAATATTTTAAGCATTTTACTTTTAAAAGGATTGTTGATATTGTTTACTGTTTATATAAATCACAATAAAGCTTTCTTTCTAGTGAAACCTACAAATATATAATATGTTGAGTGCTCTTCTTACTTTTTAAATGGAAATCTGGTCTTGTTACAAAGGAATGAGATTTCCAATAAAGGTTTTAATCTACACGTCAATGTTAACTCATATATTTTAAATTAAAATGTAGATGTAATGCATTCTGTAATTTTGCAGTATTGTTTGGAATATTATGTATATCAAGTTTGTTTTATTCAATAGTTTCAGTATAGTTGTTTATTACTATGGAATTTTCATTTTACTGAGTTCACGTCTATTAAGTATGCTATTGTTCGTCCAATCAGATAGTTGCCCAATTATATTTGTCTCAAGTTTGATTTTACTCAAAGTAGGTATCGACTATGAATCGGTTTGCGAGCATTGAAAATACAATACCAAATTCAATAGTCAATCGTTTATTGCAAACTCAGTGTATATTAGCTGGAAAGGACAATGGGCAAAACACACACGCTCCACCAACAATGTAATTAGTATGAATCGATAGATCTATGAAAAACTAACCTACTTTATTATTACACTGTAAAAAAATACCCTGGTAATCAAAAAATATGATTCCGTTAAAAAATCCTGGTATTCAAAAGATATGACACATGGGCATATTTAAGTAGCTTAATTAATTCATTTTATTCATTTTATATCTATTAGTAACCATAATAATATGCCATATCGTACTATACCACCAGATATACGACAAAGCCTGTAGACCATCCTGCGCTTGCATTTACTGAGACACCTCAAAACGGTTTACGGGGGTTAAGGACTTGCAGTTGCAAATAGTTGTTAGTTAAAATTTCGACTCGTTTTATTTCATTGTGATTGTGTGCTCCCTGCCATTTCATTGATCTAACACGCTTTAGAAATTGGAACACGATTATCAGTTTTGTCAATTAGGTATGAATGAATGATTCCATCATGTTTTCACCGAAGCGTGGGAAAGTTTGTGTGATTTGTGGTCGCTACGTTTTACATAGAAGACAATTTACTAACAAACAGAATGTTTGAAAAACTCCAACCCATGCGGGGATTTTTGGATTTACTCTAGCGCGGCAGAATAACATAAGTGGGCGCCCTTTCACCTTGTGAAGTAATCCCACCTCAGCCCCCTATGTGGGGTCGAACTAACTAAATTAATTCCCTTGTTTCATTAATGTTCGTTAGTTATAGTACTTGTACCTATTTAGCTTAAAATAACTAAAGACCCCGGGATGGAATTTGATGCGCTGTGGCACAGATGATCATGACTATAATATCTTTCAAACAAAATAGTTTAAGCCGTGGCGGACGTGGGTGCAGCGTCCATACATTTTTGCCCATTGTCCTTACAATATGAGTACTTTCAAACTTAGTTGCCCTTTTCAGACACAGCAATCACTCAATAAACTAGTTTAAAACATGATTGTTCAAACAGGTCGGGTTGCTTTTATATGTCACTAAGCAAAATAAAATATCGTGTTAATTTACACCGTGTTTAATTTTTTTTATTAACCAACTTTAAAAAGGAGGCGTTTCTCAATGATTTTTCTTTAAGTTTAAGTAGTGTTCGTGTTATTTTTTTGGGTGACCATGTGTCAGGATTTATATTTAGTTTTCCTCTTAAAACCGTGAATCAGTTGATATTTAGGTAAATTTTGTGAATGAATAATTTTGTACGAAATTGCTTTTCCAATATGTTGCGGGATTATAGAACCTCTTTTCCAGGATCTAATTTCATTGATTGTTTTACGCATGATAGATAATGAATGATTTTGGGATAAACGATTATTTTAATTCATTTCTCTTTATGAGTAAAAAAATTAGAATGATATTTTATTATTATTTTGCCTTGCCCAACCTCATGTTTAATATTTGAAACACAAAGTACGACTATTAAAATAGGTATCATATTTAATACTTAAAATACCATAGCCTATAGACGCTTACGACACCAGACTGTCACACGCTCCGTTGCCTGCATTTTGCAGAACGGGCCATAACCTTTAATTTTTACCTTATAAATGACCTATTCCATTTAGTGGCAAATTTTTCGATATCAATGGAAATCGAGAAGATAAATTGCATTCATAAAACGCTGCTGCACACAATAGTCAGTTAATAGTGAATGGTGTCAACCACTGTTTTTTAAACTGCCTTAGAATAAACGCTAGCATTCGTGCTTACTGGGAAGTTTGACAGATTTATCTTGTGTGCAAACTGCGGAATTGCTAACAGGGAGTGTAAGAGCCATTGATTGGACGCAGCTTTGGATAGAGGCACATCCTCAAACAGAATACGCTAGCGGAGTCGTGAACTGTTACACTCTTTATGTACCCTTAATGGTGTATGCTGTTTTATTGTTTATCAACGAACGCTGATGATTATTTATTAACATTTTCATTTTATTTTATTACAAAAAATATAATAATTCCATCGGCAGGAGAACGTCTTAAATACCGTTTGTTTTATAAATAAGACCAACAAATGATTCCTTCCCACCTGATGTTGAGTAACGATAGAGTCTAGACGCGGAGATAGTTGATACAGCAGTGTCACTTGCCACACCAGCCGTCTTCACCGTGCTGGCCTGCAAATTACTTTTTCACGCTTCTTTTAAAGGATCCTGGGTTGTAGGAGGGAGGGAACACGTGAGCTGGCAAATAATCTATTTGCGGATGTTACAACAAAGAAATGAGTTACCATGCTTCTTTATTAGCGTTGGAATAGCGGGCAAAGTAAGTCGATGAGAACGTTGGCCAGCACGCGTGGTCTTCTGAAGGAAAGAGGAATGTAGATTAAGGGAAAGTAGCTCCTCAGAACACTCGCCATGGTATAGAAGTCAAAAGGCGCTTAAAGAACGCGCGATGTAATTTTAAAATTTACGCACTCACGTAAAAGTTTTTAAATAAATGATTTTAGGTTGTTGTTACTTTCACGACTTTCCGGCTGACTGACAGCCATCCGGAGTTGTGTAAAGTCTGTTGATTTTGTCAACAAAAGTGACGCCAAACATTGTTGGTATCATCATTTTGAGACCAACAATGCTTGGCGTCTCTCTTGCTGATATTTCCTTATACAACAGCATTAGATAAAATTGGAAGCATTCAGATGTAGACATAATACTTTTTCCATGTTAGTTTTTTTTTTTACATTTGCGTAAAAGTAAGGTTTTGATCTTTTTTCCAGGGAATCTGGTGGTCAACAAGCTTCACTGATACGGCGAGGGGACAACACGTCATCAGTGAGACTAACCACGGTCAGATCACTGCGCTCTTCGAACAAGTACACCAACGGACATAACGTCAGTCTTTTATAACAACAGCGGAACATGCGTTACCAAAGAACTATAAACGAGGATCAAATCCTCGAGAAAGTGATAACGGGACATTCGAATTGTGTCGTTTGCATGGAGCTTAAAGCTAAAATAGAACGTTGCGAGTGTGGGTGTAAGCCTAAGTAAATGTTAATAAGCGATAAGTGTTTTATAGTATGTTTAAAAGCTTGTTCGAATAAAGAGATTATAGCCCCAATGATTTCTGAAAGCCATTTGTTATTTTTATATGATTTAATATAATCAACACCCTTTCATCTTTCTGTTTTTATCATATTTATTTCTTAGCAATATTTTTTTCATGAAATAATTTATCCGATAAATATGTTACTTACCAGACACAACTCATGATTAATTCGTATAAACTGATTTACTTACATCATTGTTAAAATACGGCCATAAATTTTATTTTGGGATTCTTAAAGCTAACGTTTTTAATATGTTTCTTGTGGGCGTCGTGGTGGACTATCTAATTTATTTCGTTACTTTATACTCGCATATTTCATTACAAAAGAGCAAGAAATATGCAGCAAAAATGCTCGAGAGGGCTTTATTAATTTAAAGCATTAGAAGTTATGAACAATGAAGATATTTCGAGCCGTACGTCCAATGATATAACATAAATAATATAGGTAGATATGTATCACTAGCACACAAATTCAGACAATTGTCGTAATTTGATTTAGTCGGCTAATAGCAACGAGTGAAACAAAACATGTCCGTGTCTTGTTAATAATATTATTAAAATGTCAAGTAATATGTTAAGCAATTGTAAAAACTATGGTTCTAAGATAGTAAGTATATAAAAGATCGTCATTCATGTAGTTCAAAATACGGAAATAAAATCACGATTTTTAAATGTGGTCACTCCTTACATATTTATTTAGTTCATGAAATACAACCTGGTGGCAGACAGACAGACGGACAGTCGAATCTTGGTAATAGGGTCCCATTTTCACCTTTTGGATACATAACCGTAAAAATTATTTCCAACTGTACCGGTATCTGTATGGGATGCAGTCCGCGTGTTTGCCCATTCTTGGCAGTCCATCCGTGTCACTTACGAGTAGGACCGAAGAATATGAAGATGCCTGACGCGAAGTGCTGTGTTGTGACGTCTAGCCCCAGAAGGGGGAGAGTACGAAAAAAGAAGGGACGGAAAAAGAATTTGTAGGGAGTCAAGACTAGCGCAGGCGGGGAAAGAGCCACAGGCAAGTACACGCGCTCTCCCAAGATTCGGTCCGTATACCACGATTGGTAGGAAGGACCATGGGTTGGTGGAGGGTTTGTACCGGTATCAATATAAATAATATTTATTTGCCATCTCAAAATACAACCAATAATTAAACAGATGTTACAATATTTACATTTGTTAATGCAATTGCCCTTTTGTTTTAGTCGGCATACCAACTCCTTATTTTCATATTTCCAAAGTACAGGAAAGGCCCTATTTTATAATGATAACAATAGTAGGACAAAATCACTGTGATTGTGATTTTGTCCTACTATTATTATCATTATTCTCTCATTTATTTAATTTCACAAGTTAGGTTTTTTATAAAATACATATAAAAGTAAAATACAAAAAAGTAAATACAAAAATAAATATAGTATAAAAAACCTAACCTAGAAGGCCACCAGCAGCGGAGCGAGGCCCAAGCTACCGGTGGTTAGGGCCGCAGAGAAAGAAACCGCCTGACGATGCGCGCCGTGTCCAGGAGTACTGCCTTTTGCATCTGCCCCTTGACCCAACCATCTAGCGAGAGGCTCTTTAGATGTTGGTCGAGACTCTTCGCTATGAGACCGTTTACGCTAACGACTATAGGGACAATGATCGTCGAATCCACATCCCACAAAGCGGTTACCTCGTGGGCCAAGTCCAGGTACTTGCTGAGCTTGTCCTTCTCGGCCTTCACGAGGTTCTCGTCATGCGGGATGGTGATATCGATGAGCACTGCCTGGCGTTTCAATCGATCTGTCAATACGATATCAGGCCTATTGGCAATAATAGTCCTGTCCGTAATGACAGGTCGATCAAAATAGAGCGTTGCATGACCATTTTTAAGAACTGGCGCCGGTGTGTACTTATAGTACGGCACCTCGGATTCTACAAGGTTGTATTGAACAGCAAGTTGCTGGTGAATAATTCTGGCTACGAGATTATGTCTGTGCAAATACTCACCGTTAGCCAGATGAGAACAACCAGAGACGATATGTCTGAGGGATTCACCAGGCCGACGACATGCTCTACAAATGTCGGCCGTTCCGTCCCTCAGGATATATCTCCGATAGTTGTTCGTCATTATGACTTCGTCAGCAATTGCACAGACAAACCCTTCGGTTTCCCCAAAGAGATCACCGAATCGTAGCCAGTTCACGGAGGCGAGCTGGTCCACATCAGGCCCTGTTAGGGCCCGATAGAACCGTCCGTGGAGCTCCTTGCTTTTCCATACTTCCTTGCGATCCTGGGTGCTTAGCACCCTCGGCTTGCGCCAGTTCTCTATCGCCAAGGAGAGCGGCGTTAGGTTTTTGTCAACTGCTACAATGTCACGATGCAACCCACCCTCACTGTTAAGGAAGTAATCCCTGAGACTGCACACCTCTCGGTTGTGGAGATTCTTGGCATTTAATAAGCCACGACCTCCACACTTACGTGGGATATACAGTCTCATAACAGATGAGCGCGGGTGAAGCATACGGTGCATTGTGAGCAGTTGACGAACCTTCCTATCCAGAGTGTCTAACTCAGTCTGAGTCCATCTCAGTATGCCAAAGGAGTATGTGAATAGGGGCATCACCCAGGCATTGAAGGCGCGCACCTTATTGGCTCCCGACAAAAGACAATTCAGTACTTTTGTCAGTCTCCAAAAGAAACGCTCCTTCCATTCCTGTTTTACGTCCCCATCCGTAATACCCAAAGACTGTGACATACCAAGATACTTGTAGGTTTCCGTCTCCGAGAGAGATTTAAGAGTGATTGTCTCAGAAAGTTGTAAATTTGTGGAATTTACCACTTTCCCTCGCTGTACATGCATGACCGCGCACTTATCGACACCAAACTCCATCCCGATAGAACTACTGAAAACTTCTGTAATTTTTAGTAGTTTAATCAAGTCTGGTTGTTTTGGTGCAAATAATTTTAGGTCATCCATGTAAAGTAAGTGAGAAATGACCTCCCCACCTCTCCGGAGACGACAGCCTAGCCCTGTTTCCCTTAGCAAAGTGCTAAGAGGATTTTGAGCCAAGCAAAACCACAACGGGCTCAGACTGTCACCCTGGAAGATGCCTCGCTCTATCCTTATACCATCCAACGGATCCAAGGGGTCATCTCCACGGTCTGGCCGACGAAGGACTGTGGTCCACTGTCTCATACATGTACCCAAAAAGGATCTTAAAGGTGCATCGATTTTATACAACTCTAGGATCCTTCTCAGCCATGAGTGAGGCACCGAATCATAGGCTTTTTTATAGTCAATCCAGGCCGCAGAAAGGGCTCCTTTGCTCCGCCGGATATGTTGGCAAATGGTCATGTCAATGAGGAGGAGTTCTTTAGTACCACGGGACCCAACCGTATTTTATTATCATTATTGTTAAATGTCGGCACTTTTCACCGAACGAGAAAAACTTATCAATATCTATCACGCCGCGTCAAGCGCAAGCGCATGAAGAACCGTCAATCAAAATTATTCTCAATTGAGATCAAGTCCGTAGTAACGCTTGACGGTAGGTCAAGTCAATGCGGAAAACGATCAATATTTTGTTCAATCACGTAGACTTCACGTAGAAGGCGACTTGATCTAGTATTAGGTTTCCGAGTGATAAGTCAGGCTACAAGATTAGATCGCGAATGTTCATGAACAAAGAAGCGAATCAGACTGGATACCATCAAAAAGTTGCAGAATCTGTAGCGATCACTTCAAAACTACTAACAAATATGGATTCGAAATAAGGACAAATACTACAAAAAAATGATGTGGTGTCGTGGGACACCAGGTAGGAACGAAGTTCTTTCTCTTTCGAATCTAAAGAATGACACTTTTCTTCGATATGAGACTTAATATCTCATTTCCAACTGCGAAAAACGCAAACAAGCCATTTATTAAATTGAAAGAAGAAGAATTATAAGGGGAGAGGAAAACCGAAAAAGATTCATAATTTGATCCTATACCAATAACAATTTAGTTTGCAGAAAGGATTTGAACCACGTGACATATTGTAGTTAATTTTATTTTATTTCCTCACGTGGCGGTTTGTACGTTTACATTCTTAAATAATGTTACCTAAATTAAATTGAAACTTTTCTTTGTAATTGTTTGAAAGTGTTTAAATCCATTTATTTATCAGTAAATTAAGCAACAAAACGGACTCAATTGATTAACGAAGTAATGAGTATTCGAAATACCAGGATCGCATAAGCTCACACTAGGTATACATTATCAGTCCTACGGAATTCGGCCGCGGTGCGCCCGTGTCGCAACCAGCTGCGTAGCCTAGGTGAATGAGCGGACGTTCGAACTTCGAAGTGTATTCGATTTTTAAATAGGTTTTCGAAAAAGTTTCTAACAAAATAAAAATTCCACGCATGGACACACCATCATATCATCATAATCATAGCACATCATACACGGTACGATTCATACTATTATTACAACGCCTTTAAGATTATGTTGTCCTGGTACTAAGCCTTATAAATATAATCGATAATCCACTACATTATTCGCTGTGAGCTGGAAAGCTGCCTGGTCGTCTCCCTCGCTCTAGAAAGACCTCACAACCACCACCATATGATTTTGATATCCTGGTACTAAACCTGCAAGTATAGACTACTGAATAGCGAACATCGTACTCCGTCACCTACAACTTACTCTTGTACCAACTTTATGGTTACGATATCCTGGTACTTAATCTTCAAGTGTGTACTGAATAACAACATCGTATTTCCTCAATAAATTGCAAATAATTTTGTTGTTGTATCTCAACGAGTTATATAGTCCTGGTAATAATGCCACTAAAACGCAGCACACCACGTCTCATTTAACGGTTTTATTCCACGCATTTTTTCTTACGGTTTTACTATCACATTTTTTTCAGTTCGGTCGCGCAGCAAAATCCCTATCGCCTCCAAGCCTGCCGTAAGGAACTTTCGACCTCACAACCACCACCATATGATTTTGATATCCTGGTACTAAACCTGCAAGTATAGACTACTGAATAGCGAACATCGTACTCCGTCA